GAATTAATGCACACTGAAAGCCCAGGAAGAAGCTATGCCTCCCTAACTTTGTGTGTGACCCGCCACAATGTGCTGTTCTCTGCTTCTGTGGTACAGATCAGAATGTTGTGGAGGTAATAGAGATAATATATTTCTGTAATGTTAACACTAATGGCTGTTTATCTTGTATTCTGTTAAACATTTAGTTCCAATGCAAAAGTGCACAAGCATTAAAAAGTGTAACAGCACTAATGCATCTACCTACCTATGGTATTTAAAGTGCTAGATATTTACTTTTTGAGATGTCACACAAGAATTTTTTTCACTTCACTCTTTGAGTAAAATGCTTCTCAATCAAAGAGGAAATGAGAAGCATCACGCCTCTGCCATTTTCTGTCTACAGTTTATTTCCCAGCCTGTCCCCTGTTCTTCCTCTGTAAACGTTATCTGCAGAGTCTGAGCCGACCCAGAAAATCTCATATTTCAGCATCACTGCTCCACATTATGCCTCGTCACTCCTCATCCTCTTAGTCCTACCAAACTGTGACATACAATACAGCCCACAAAGCATCTCACTGTCAACTCAGCTTTACACCCATACAAACACATTCATGATACTATATCTGCAGTGTTTTTTCCCTTTCATCCAGGCATTTTCTTGCTTGAGTGGCTGATTGTACACTCTCACCATTTGTGAGCTCACAGCTAACCTGATTATATAAAGATTGCATAACATTAAGTTGTCTGCATCGTCTCTGTGCATTATCCAGCACTCACTTTTCTTTTGATGCCCTTCTCCTACTGAGCTGCAATCATCTGTCCACCTAATCGCTCTGGGCTATGTCAACAACCTCTCTTTCACAGGCAGCTGATAAAAGTGTCGCCAGGGACGGGAATGTGTGCAGGTAAGCACAACTTCATACCAATGACGAGGTGACTGTCTCTAGACAAAGTGTTTTAAAGGATCTCTACACCAGGACCCAGCGCAGGCCCCTCTGGTGACAGAAGCAAAGTCCGATCAAAGACGGGTGAAGGAGAAAAACTAACTCCACTTCTAGCACTAATATATTGTGAGTGAAAAAGTTTTGTAGTTGATGAGATTGAATGAACGGAGCAGACAAACAGCCACACGGAGCTTTCTTTTTGTCTGATGGCTGTATAGTGAGCTGACGTGAAGAAATAGAGAACAAGACGGTCAGCACTTAAAATGTTTGGTGCTGAGTGCAGGATGGATTACAAACAAGATGCACAGTGATGTTTGGTCAGAGTTCATGTTAGAAGGGATAAACAAAAAAACCACGAAATACACTCTCACTAAAACCTGGGCCAAATTCACAACCTCCCAAGTCTTTGCAAAAAGCTGTGATTGCGTATAGAGAGAAAATATTCTACTTACGCTTTCAAAGTACATCCATCATGTGATTCTCACTGAGTCTGAGCCCTGCCTGAAGATCTCTTTGCGTAGCCACTGGAGCTCTGGGAAATAACGTTGCTGGTGGGACCTTGGCTCTTCAACTTTGCTTTAATGACACTCGGATATCTATCTCAGATATCTTACACATAAAGACACCTGGGAATAGCAGATTATAATTACTTTACTGGCCCATTCTTTGTCAGGGAGAATCAGACAGCCACTATTAGCTGTTAGAAAAGGAAAAAGTCATTAGTTCATCTCATTATAGTCACAATTACCTGGGGGTGAGGGGATGATCTATTACATATACTGTGATATATCACTGATCCAAATTTGTAGAGAGACACCATCTGCTTATAAAGCATGACGGAGAAAATATCTCCCCATAAAGCTGAACCTTGCCTCTGATGAGATATCAATAAATGTTGACAGATCATCACATGCTGTCATGTAGCTGCTGCCTTGTTACCATGGTGTACATGCAGAGGATCCAGAATGCAAATCACTGTCATCTGCTACACGCATATTGTAGATGGGCTCATCAAAAACCTGACTCCAGAGGAAATATTTTGTCAGCTTGATCTTATTACACTACAGCATTAAACAGCCAAAGCAAACTGCACCTTTCAACTTTCAAGTTGGTTTTAGAAACTTGTGTAGATCTGACTGTCTTGGCAAAGAGGGAACGGGATCATATCGCTGAGATTTAAAATGACATTCATTGAGTAAATGCACCAGGAAAACAGTGCTCCTAATAAGAACCCCAGGGAATCAGCTGCAAAACTTCTTACTGTAAAAACAAATGTTGTGCTACAGGTGACAAACTCAAAGTGTGACTTACAGTACAACTAGGGACGTGTGGCTTACTGTGCAAGAACCACAAGTTTGAATACATGCACAACACAAAACAAAAATCTAAATACTCACTGCGCTCCGGATTCAGTTCCTCAGCAGCTGTTACTTTGCTGAAGGCGATGAGAAGCACGAACATGAAGCACAAAATGAAATGCGCTTTTAGCTTCTGCTGCTGCCTCCATCCATGCACAGGCACTAGGTTTGTGGAGTACGAGGTTATTTGGTGACTATGAGCAACAGGCTGCCTCCCCTCCTGTTCTCCCTCCCTCGTCCCCTCCTTTCCGTGTTCCCTCCTTCCCTTTCCTTTGCCCTCTCTCTCCCTCACCCTCTCTTTCCTCCCTCCAGCACTGACATCAGAAGTGGGATGTGCCAATATACCAAAAGCTTTTGCAAGAAATCCATGGCAACCACCGTCTAGAGCACTACACTTCCCCTCCACCTTTAAATGACAATAATCACAGTTGTTTGACTGTTGAATCACACAACGGTTTATATTTGTCTGGTGGGTTACCCAGCTGTGGGGGAGTGGATGACTGGGTCAGACTCACTAGGCTGTCCAATTTTAGACAAGTGGTGAGAAATGCTATGAAGAGCGATGATGATGAGGAGGAAGATGGCTCATACAGAGGATGTTTATCTCTACAAGAACATGATTTTTGTTGTGTTTTTAGTAATCATGTGTTCCCAGTGGCTGAACTGATGCCTTGTTTTTAGATGATACCACCACCAGACACAACAGGACAGAAACACTTTACAATACATTCAGGAAGACAGATGGTCATAAAGTCCAAAATAGAACTGCTACTTTAAAGGAATAAACAATATAAAACAAATTCAGTAACAAAACCTATAGTATGTTTTAGTATGCATGACACATCTACATTTTGTAGACTAAGCATTACCTCAGAACTGTGTTGCCTGTGTTAGGGTTTATTATTTACTTTATTGATCTCCCTGTCTTGGATTGAATAGAAACTGCAGAAGTAAACACATCACAAGTCAGTCCTGGGGCACTATTTTCACTTCAGTGCTGTTATGACCTGTAATAAAGAAGTGAAATGTGCATAATGTTTTGGCACAAGTCTAATTTTCCTTTCCCAGTCGACTGTGTATTATCTGAGGGTTTAAAAGAATCATTGCTCTGTGGCTAGGGGCACTGTGTATGTGTTTTCAAAAAGAGATATATTGGAAAGAATAGGAAACATACTGTAATTCCTGCCAGCTATTATGTCTTCAGAGCACAGCTGTTATCTAGTAGGTGACTAAAAGCACCTAAAGATAATGAGAATACAATAAACCACTAAACATTACCTCAAAAGAACGACATCTCTGTGGTGCTTCAACATCATCATAATAACCCTAATGATCATGAACAATCATGTTCATGATATCAAGTTAAAACGCATCATTATATTCTGTGCATCTTTACTTTTAGATGAAATGCAGTTTGTTCTTCATGACTATATCTTAATATATGGTCATTTTGGCTTGACACTTGAGTGGGTTTATGGGTGTTAGACTGTACAGTTCAGTAAAGGGGTGTAAATATGTTCAGAAATATCATTAGTAATAAATCCATCTTGGGTGTATTTGCCATTAATGTCTTATTCAAAGTGCCTATTCAGTCAGCTGTTTTCTAATACAAATCAAGGACAATTAGTGTGAGACATGGAATAGAAACGCATCTAAGATATACAAAACAAGACCAAAACAGAAATTTAAACAACAAAAACTGGATGCTTTTTCATCAAGTCAGAATCTGTAGTGATTGTGCCTACAGGTGTTCACCTGCTGTTTGTTGATTGCTAATTACTGATCCAATGTTAACCTTTTGTTCAGAGGATTGGTGTACTCTCTGACACTGCAGCCTTTTCCCCACCGGTTTTCTTGGGGGTGAATCACTTCCCACTATTCCTCACTGTTTAAAGAGACTAAATGTTGAGCTTTCCTTAAAGGCTCTTTGATTCTGTGGCGCTTACTGATTAAATACCAGTGGCGAAGGCACCTTTTATGTCTAAAACTGCACAGATAACAGATAGCGTCGAAATGCTTCCGTTTGGCTTCGGTCTTCCGGACAGTGGTGTAACTACAGGTTACAAATGACAAATGTAGATTGGCTCAGTGTTGGTAGATATTGTTGACCATAAAACACAAATCAAACTTTAGTTTCTCCCTTGAAACATCATCAGATTTTCTGAGACAATAACATGTCATTATTTAATCCTTTTGTGTCCGTGTTTTGTCTTAATTGATTCATATGTGTGGTGTGACACAAAGCTCAATTATTGGGTCACTGTGTTTCTGATGCTTAAAGATACCTTGTAGCGTCATACTTATGAACACCAGCTGTGTATTTCTTCAGTCTCCTAAATAAATGAATAGATGGTCATTTTGAGAAAATGGCTGTGGCTTAGGTGGCAACTGTAAGATCGGTGGTTTGATTCCTGTTCTCCCCAGTCTACATATCAAAGTCTCCTTGGGCAAGACACTGACCCCCAAGTTGCTTCCGATAGCCAGAGCAATGCCACAATTGTGTGAGTTGGCAAAACAGATGGATTGCCAGAATCTATCTGTACCAGAGACAAATTCCTTGCGTGTGTATTGTACGTGGCCAATAAAAGTGATTGCCATTATTCCCTTTCTTGCAGTGGAGAACCTTGAGTTGAGAGTTGAGGGTGACCTCCTATGCAAAATAAGTCCATAGGTTGTTTGTGCCAGCAGGTTAATATGACCAACAGTTACGTGTTATAGTTAGGCGACCTCTACTGGTTACTGTATTTATGACATGAGCAAAGGTGGAAGTTAGGTTAGGTTTGCAGAAGGCGGAGGCTGGGTTTCTTCAGGCGACTAGTGTTGGATTCCTGGGTGAAACATTGTGCTTTTTATCCATGAGTGTTCTACAACCTTAAGCATGTGTTTATCACTGTAACCAAGGTCTTCTAACATTAAGGAAGTACTTATTTTAACACAAACCATACACTTTCCTGAACCTTACCAAATTGTAACCATTCTATAATCATAAACTAATTCTGTTCTGTTGTTGTAGATAGCTCAGTTAATTTAGCTAGTTAGCTAGGTACATAATTATCAAAGTGGTCCAGCATTGGAGAGAGACAGTCTAAAAGGTTGTAAAACATGTTTTGACATGTCACTAACTTAAAGTGTCACAAGTACAATTATTGCTATTGACTTCAGCTTCCAGGTGTCACTGTCGCTGCCTACGTGGGCGTTGAAGTCCCCCAGTAGAACAACAGAGTCCCCAGTCGGGGCCTTTTCCAGCACCCCTCCCAGGGACTCCAAGAAGGCCGGGTACTCCACACTGCCATTCGGCCCGTAGGCACAAATGGCAGTGAGAGACCTATCCCCGACCCGAAGGCGCAGGGAAGCGACCCTCTCGTTCACCGGGGTAAACTCCAACACATGGCGGCTAAGCTGGGGAGCTATGAGCAAGCCCACACCAGCCCGCCGCCTCTCACCGCGGGCAACTCCAGAGTA